GAAATTGAATGATCACTCGTTATGAAAGTGGCACAGGTTCATTTCTCATAATCTAACTAAACGCTAAGTGAACTAGGTCAAAACATCTCTTACAGTTCCTAAAAGATATAAATCTCTTCTAATTAATCTAGCTATAGCAGTAGTGATGTATAAAGTAATTTATACAACTTAACTTCCAAATTTAACAAACTGAACAATTCAATAATTATGAAAACAATGTAAATTAATTGAAGTAATATGCATATTTGATTCGATATAATTCTCATCAAATTATTAAACTAATGCAGAAACTATAATATTTTTGAATCGATTTGAATACTTCCTTGGATAAATTTTTAAATATCTTAACGCGTGAAAAAAAATTGATTTACATCACGTTTGCACAATAAACGATCCACGTTTAACTCGTTCTAACTTAGATCTTTTAAAATTGTGGTTTCGTGAAGACAATAAACTTAATTTATTCGAACCATAGTGTGGATTTGCGCGACGGAAGCTGCGAAATTCCACGCTCGTTCGTTTAAACGCGGAAAAAAGAATGGAGAACCGTCTGCGGATTCTATTAACTCTTCCGGAACACGCGTGGCGCATATCTTTCCCAGACGACTTCGAGAACCGGTTAGAATTTTTGGAATGTCAGCATGGATGAATGTAATTTCACTTTTTCACTCGATACTATCTATTCACGCTTTTCATTTACTATACTTTCGCTTTTTCGTTCGTTCAAAACGAAAATAAATAAATTAAAATAAAAAAAATAAAATTATAATTTTGAAATCTAATTGTAATAATAATTTTCTTTATTGATAGATATATAAAAATAAAATGATGATATTGTTCTTGTAATAATCTGAGAGAAGAATTCTTCAAATAGGAAAATTATAAATTTGAAAATTTTTTAATATATTAAAAATCCGTATAATTTTAAATTTAAAAAAAAAATAAAATAAAATAAAATTTTTTGTAAAACGTGATTTAATTTACCGAAGTATCTTTTGTTGTTAGTTAATTTTAAAAGACTCTGTTTAGTTATGTAGGAACATGCGCTTAAGCGTGATTGAAATGTCCAAGTTGTAAAGTATATATACTTGCTGAAAACCTTTTAATAAAATTCGTGAAACCGAGAACTAGCTTTTTTCCAATTACTTTTATTATGTTTCTATTTTTTCTCTACGTTATTATTTTTCTACGATTTATTTTTACAATAAATTTTTATATATCTTTCATGTAATGAATTTTAAAATGCAGAAAAATTTGAAAATCTGATACTAATGATGTAAAATACCATAAAATGACATTAAAGGAAACTATATCTTATATATTCATCTATTATTACGTGATTTGCGCAATAATGTATTACATAACAATAATAACAATAGTTACAGGATAGGAACGATTTAAAGTCTCATCGCAATGAGTCTTCTGTAGTCTTCTATATATTATTCAATTTAATTCGAAAATTTTCAATTATGAATGCAATGCAATACCGATTATAATAAATTAAAAAAAAGAAAAAAACAACTGAATCTAATTTTCAAATTGGAATTCTATATTTCAATCATGTCAGTCATGTGATGGAAAAATTATAAAAACCTTACAATCCTAAAAATTATTGACAAATATTAACTATCTAATTTTGTGTGACAAATATATGTCACATGTGCCAAATAGAAATCCAATAAAAATTAGGCACATTTTCCAAATTCCAAATATATTATATTCCTATGCTGTAGTCTATAATTTATCGTATAAGTTTATAATTTATCGAACAAATATAAGTTTCGTACAAATGAATTCTATCGACAGAAGATTGTCTGATCTATTCAACATCGATTCTAAAGAACAATCCTCAGAAACTGATATTTGTTTTTGTTCATAACACGAATTCTTTCACATGACGTCATTATTTTATTTAGATTGAACGAGATCTGCATACGATGCGTCACTGTTTTCAAATAGGTCGATCAAGCGCGAACGCGAACTAAAATTTCGCTCCAATAAAATGGAATTTCACCTTATCGCGATATCCATGAATACTGATCAAAAAATTCTTCGCCTCGAGCAGCTATGGAAAAATAATTCTATGAATGTCGTTGTTTATCAATCACGATATCACGCGTATCGATCTTTCAATGGATCGAAAACAACAATGCACCGTCTACAATCGATTACGGAGTGTAAAACGACTCCGTACTGCGAAGTGTTCATCGATTCTCGAATGTTTGGCAATTTGAAAAATTACCTCGCAATTGACTCTTACGAAAGGCGGTATATATGCGCGAACTGTACAAGTTGCCACGCGATAAAGGGCGGGGAGAAATCGCGTGACATAATAGGCCCACATAAAGGCAATAGAAATAAATGACGTTAAATTGCTGGGTGGCTCGTTTTTACAGATCGTACTCGTGGTGCAGACGAACGAAATGCTTCTGCGTCGTATTAAATCTACGGGCAGATCGAGACTTCTCTATACGAAGTTATCGATCGTTTAGAATCGGATGTGCGTATTGTCCTTGTGAAGATTAGTCGTCGATTAGATATACTATAACGTGTGTCGAAGGGGAATTAGTTCTACGGTAGACGTCATGCAAGAAATTAACTTCGATTTAAGATCGTTTCGTCTGAAGATTGTTTTTATGAGATTAATGTTCCGATGGAATTATCACGTTTAATGTTTCAGATATTTGATAAACTTTTAAATGAAATGTCCGAATGTAATGATTATTTGTTATCTCTAGATTTTATATACTACTCTTTAAAAATTGTATATCAATTTATTTGAATCAGTAAATTTATTCGAATTATATTTGACTATATATAACTCCATCTAACTTATATATTACTCCATCTAACTCTCGTGACGAATTAACGACATAACATATACTGTCCATGCATTTCTAAGCCTTTATGAATAGAGTTCTAATATTCGTAAGCGCATAAAATTTTCTGAAATAAAAAATTTCATCGCTTACATCTTTCTTAGTAAAATCATTAAAAATATAATTGCAAATTATTCTAATGCCAGAAATATCGATCGCAATACCCGATTAGAATGTCCAGTACGAAGTCGTGATTCTACGAAAAGTAAGATCGAAAAATGGCCGATTCGGCGTATACACGTTCGGCTGCTCTCTCTCTGGGCCGCATTGTTCGAAAGAGGGCCGCGCAGCTGCTCCAAAATAGACAAGTCCATTGTGTGCTACGCACGGAACGCGACAATGGACGCTGATGCACGCGTGAAATCGATCGGGAAACTGACTCATAGGGAAGATCCTGCCCTCGTGCAGGCAAACGCACCATTATTCCCCATATCGACAAGGTCACGACCTCCGGTAAGAATCGTGACGCGACTACACGTAGCTCCACTCTCTCGTCTATGGCGGGCAGGTCGTTGCCACCCGGTCGTCACACTACATTTAACCTTTTTGCAACAACGAGACTTCGTGGACGTTATGGCGGAAACGATATCAGTGATGTAATGTTTGTGAATCCGTATCCACTATGTTTGAATCATTTTCTCGGTATCGTTCAAGTTCATGCACACATTACGTCCAATTATGTTTATCTTTTCGATTGTTATTTAATTATTAAAATATTAAATATTTGATATTATCGAATGCGAGGAGAGCTACGTGTTTTTTTTTTT